CTTCTCATGCGTCTCCATCGTTCACTTTTCCCCAGGGCACTCAGCAGTACAGTGACTACACCCAGAAGATGGCGCCGGCTAAGATCAATCATCCCAAACACTCTGGTTCACAACGTGGCATCTCCCACATGGGCCAGAGGTCCGATAACTGGCGTTCATCTGGTCTCGCGTCGTTCAGCAAGTCCAAGCGTCATCCATCCACCATGGTCAACCCTGCGCCAGCATTTCCACGCACGATGACCGACATCCCCGAGTATCTGGCTGTACAGGAGATGGCTTTCCGTCAAGGTCAGTATGACTCAGGAAACTCTCGCAGCAGGGTCCCAGCAAGCCCCTTCGCGAGCCTCTTCGACCAGGTCTGGGAGCGCTTCTTCCAAATGGGTGCAGCCTACGGAGGAACGCCTGCTACATCGCCCGTAGAGCCGTATCCCACTCACGAGAACTTCGTTTGGTCTATCCTGATCAACCCCGCTACACAGGATCTAGAGCATCTCAACGGTTCCGTGGACATGGGATGGGCTCATAAGATGTGCAGCATGTCTTTGAACTGCATGGAAGAGCTCATCCGCGTCGTGCGCAACCGTCCCAAGGACTGGGAGAAGATCGTCTGCGACATCCCTTTCCCGGTCAAGCAGACCATAGTGGCCTTCCCGGACCTCTGCGAGTACTACGAGGCCCTCCAGCAAGAGGCCAACGATGCGTTCGGCGGCGGATTTTAAAGCTTGTCAAATCCGTCAGCTACAGCTTCGTTAAGTGAGATTATTGTCCCACATTCGGAGTTATGGCCCTCTAGCAACGGTAACAACACTCGCGTGCGGTCTGTTGGTGGTTTCGCCTAGGCGATGTTTACACGACGATCAGGGGGTATTGTATGATGTTTCTCTAACGAGATTTTAATAGTGGGTTGATTCCTTTTTGTTGTCATGGCGTTTCACGGTGGGCACTGATGGAGTTTCGGCGCGATCTTGTTGGAGGAGTATCCCGGCAGCATCGTCGGTTTCTATTCATGTTCACGCCCACCGATCTCACGACGTCATGTAACGACCCATGTACAAGGAATGGCTCTGGCGCAGAAGCCCAGATGTACTGTAGCACAGCTACGCACCAACACGTATAACAAAAATAATTTTCGATACAATAGCACAAAAGCAATAACACACACCTCGCGTCGTGATACTGCCACGCCAGATCACGTGGAGACGCGAATACGGGAGGGAATGGCTCCGGGCCTTTCCAAGATTTGCGAATATCCGCGTCATGCACATCATATCAGATTTTCATCACCATCTACTATAACCGTGTCCAGTCGCGCAAACCGCCCCTCTGAAAATGACAGCAACAGCACCAGCACGTTCGCATGGCTTCGATCGCCAACACAGCCTTTTGCAGCTCGACTGCAGCGCCGACCTGCGACACTATTCGCGCAACCTCGGGCCAGGCGTCCAGGAGCGCATCTTCCAAACCACGAGCGACGCCCTGCGGAAACAACTCGACGAGCATCGCGACTTCCTGCTCCGGCATCAGCAGCAGCAACCGCGGCTGGCTCCTACCTCGTCGGTAGTCAGCGGCCCAGCGCCCCCAACTCCTCAGGCATACCCACAGCCTCATCCCTATTCTCAGGCGTCGCAGCCCCCTCCCCTCCAGGCCGCCGCACCGCAGCTCGTCCATCGCCGCCCCGAACCCGCCATCGTCCCCGGCGACATCAGCACATACCCGCTCGCCCTGCGCGATGCCCTGTATTCGCAGAAGCTGATTCCGCGGGCGCATGACGGCCGGTCAGCGTATCATGTGGTAGTCAGCAGCAAGAACCGCGACCTGGGCGAGGATACAAAGGTCGTAGGGACTTGCCCAAGCATGCTGGCAGCGAACGAACTCGCGGCGCGGTACTTTGTCGAACATTGTCTTGTCGATGTTATTGACCCGAAGTTCACACAGCTGGCGAGCGGCGCGTTGCACTGCGGTGCGGGACCTCACAACGTGTATGTGCAAGAGGGTAGGATGGAATGATGGACGCATTTGGGAATACAAGATGTCGTGGACCCGGGGCAATGGTCTGGTCCCCAGGTTCCACGGTACCCTTTGTCACCTGCAGGGTCCGCTGCCGTCCTGCATCATACCCGTGCTTTCAACCCGTCAGGCGGTATGTCATGTCCATCAAACATGTCGGACAGTCGCTTCCGGGATGCGCATCGCCACCACAACCTGATCGACGACTCGCGGGCGATTTCAGAGCTCAGCGATGTTCCTGGTCAACCAGAAATCCGACAAACCGCGAAGTCGTAAGATAAGAAGGGCCAACACGGACCGGTCAGTCACAAGACGTGTCGGGCAACAGGAGTCAGACAGGTAGCATCCTCTCATCGGCGCATGCTGAGGTACTACATGCACAGGGCGAAATCAGCTTGGAGGAAAGGAGTTTTACATTCTTGGAGCGTTTCGTGTTTTTGGGCGGATATGTATTATTATAATCTATTTCGATGATCCATGCGCATCATTGCTGGGACCATAGAGCCCCAGAGCGAGTCAATTAATTCTGTAATCACCTTACAACACTGTCCACCGTCTATACCGCGCTTCTCCGCTTTGACGTCTTTTTATTACACCTGTCCAAGCTGTCATGTAGACTTGTCAGTGCCGCCTGTAAGTCGCGCGCGTGACGTGTCTACCGGTACCTGTTCTCGACCTCTAATCCCTCGTTACCCAAAAGTTACTCGCACCCACGCCGGAAGTGAAACGAAGGGAGACGATCACCATGTCTTCACCGGAAGCCCGTTTCATGCCCACACTTCCCAACAAGGCAGTTTACCAAACAAGTGTAGATTGCAGCGTTGGCATGTTCCGGACTCGTTTTGCTCGTCCGCCCGCTACTTGCCGTGGTAGCAGGGTCAGGCGCTCCGCAACTTGGCATGCCCTTGTCCCTGTGACCGGAACCCTCGCATTGCGGGCTGTTAAGCTACGTCATCAACATTGTACATCAGAGCGCGCTGGTGTCGCAGAAGTTCATTCATATCCTGCGAAGAAACGGACGAAGCGCATCATTATACCGCGTCGCATCACGTAGATCCCAGACCCTCACTGTACCCAGCACAACGGAACTCGCGACCATCCCTTGCACAAACCCTGCCTCGCCGCAGCCACGCCACGCATAACCTCCTACCCACGCCGCAGCCACACAGCCCGCCATGGCGCCCCCAAACACGCCCTTCATCTACCTCCTCTGGCACCTCTACCTCGAGCCCATCTTCGCCCTCGGCGGCACATACCACCTCCACTGGGCGCCCGCCGAATACTTCACCTTCATGCCGTCCACGTCCGCGTACCACCCCGATTCCCAGATCGCATACGACCAACTCGCATCCGCATACCTCTTCTTCGCCTTCACAGAGGGCGTGTTGATGCGCGTTGTGAAAGATCGGAAGACGTGGTGGTGGATTGTGCTGGGGCTGATACTGTGTGATCTGGGGCATTGCTATGCGGCTTGGTGTGAGATGGGGACGAGGGGGGTGTTGGATCTGGGGAGCTGGAGCCAGAAGGATGTTGTTACTAATTCGCTGAATGTGCTGCCGGTGCTTGTGAGGGCGGCGTATTTGGTGGGGCTTGGTGTGCCTGGGGAGGGGGCTGAGAGTAGGAAGGAGATTGAGGGTAGGAAGGCTCCGAAGAAGGCTTCGAGAAAGGCTTGATCTGAGATGTGATTTTACTTTTGAGATATATATACGTCGCGGTTTGATCTGGTTGTATGCAGTATGTCATGGTCAGCCCAACGCAGCCTACATGCTGAAGTCGAGATTCTTGCTTGATCACGTTCCTCACATGATGCGTGTGCGTTCGTTTCTATGAACCAAGAGCTAGCGATGCGTTCTTCGGTGTGTTCGTGTAGTCGACAAGTTCGGGTTGTCAAGAAAATATCATGTTGGCGCATATACCGCGGCCGAGACAGGTCGTGGCAGGGTGAGGCGAAGTTTGTGTCGGTTCCAGGTAGCATGATATCTCGATATATACGTGAGACGCTCTACGCGGTCAGAGTTTCAAGGCCTGCAGCATACACGCAATTTCTCCAATCTTCTCGTCTATTCCACGCGCGCGTTCAGCACGGCTGATTCGTCAAGTCTCTGCAGACGGCATGCATGGAAAATATAGCAGCATGTGGGGGGAGTGAGCCGCGGGAGGGCCACGCTGCAGGTCAACATCGAATTCTGCGCGCACTATCGGATTCTCTGAAATGCCATGACGGCGCACTAGCCTTGGAGTCGCTCTCAACACTTTCCTACCAACCCCATCGAGATGGGAGCCTTCACGTGAAGGTTGCAAACTGCGCGGGCTGCACAGACGGCGACTGGCTCCGGGAGATTCAGCGCGCAGGACGGAGGCAGGCTATGGTTCATGGCCCCAACGGTTGCACGAGCCGGCGTGTGTCTAATTGGCGGGCGGGGCACAGTGATGCGCGACTAAATGGGGAAGCTCCCGCAGCTGTCAGGTTAGCAGAGCAGGCGCCGGCACAGTCTGACGACGGTCTTCCGTGCAACTTGCGTAAAGATGACCGTCGTCGAGTCAAGGCCTTCGCTGATTGCAGTGCGACGGTGGAGAGGCCCACCAAACGCGCTGTGCGTGCCGGTGTGGCCGTACGTCATACCGCGGGGCTGAAATCTTGCAATTTGCGGCCATGGACACGAAAGTATCAAGTACGCCCCTTGCCGTAAGCCGCACGCCTCATCCAGGAACAGCAGCCAGATATCCTGAATTTGCCCAACCCCCAGCCCAGCACGTCGGCAGCGCTTTCTTGCTTGGGCCCGCCTCGACACGCGTAACCTAGGCCATCACGATCGATCGAAGCTGCCGGAAATTTCACTGCGCGCGCCCACCGCCTCTATAACTTCACCTCGTCTGCCCCAAGCCATTGCGCAGGACCCGCTTCTCCCGCCTATATCTGATTGCCATTTCTCCACCATTTCTACAACCTCAATCTCTGACCAGCGGGCGCCCACGCCAGACTGCTGCCCAACATGACCACCCACGTCGTCTCCCTGTAGGTACCGCTTTCCACTTGTCAGCCTGAATCAACCTGTAGATAGCGCACTATGATTCCAATCTGCACCGCGTTCGCCCTTTAACAGCGCTAGTTTCCTCCCGTATACCGTCGATTTCCACGAGTCCAAGTCCAACCCCCCAAGCCCGCCAGACGCCGCTCCCCCGAAGCTGAGCGAGACCGCCCGCGAGTCCTCCGCTACTAGTATAGCCAAATCGCGGCCCGTCAGCAAGAATGCAGCTGAGGAGCAGACCCCGAGCCTCCTTAAGCGGGCGCCGCCGACACACATCCAGCTGCCCAAGACGCCCATGCGTATGACGGAGCATGAGGACTTCTTCACGCCCGGCCAGCCCAGCGCGGCCACGCACTTCCCCAAGCCAGCAGACCCCCGGGGCCTGGTACGTAGCGATGCCCATGTCCCCGAATGGGGTACTACCGGTCTCTTCTTCAACCAGCCCATGTCCAGGGCCGAGCCAGCGCCCCCCGACACCATCCTCGAATACGCAAAGGCGCAGGAGCGGGCGCAGGCCCAGAAGGAGCGCATGAAGGGCTCTCACGCCGGCAAGCCTACAACGGACCCGCGATGGGCCACCGAGTACTCCGTCGTGCCAGCTGTCCAGGGCAACGGCGGCCTGACCAACGCGCTGCGCTGTGCCGTGGACAACAAATGTATTAGTGACACCATCACTGTCGGCTTGATCGGATTCCCCACAGACAGCTTGAACGAGGAGAAGAAGACGGAGATCTACGAGAAGCTTGAGGAGGAGCAGGACGCGCTCACCGTCTTCGTCAGCGATAAGGACTTCGATGGCCACTATGCGCACTACTGCAAGACCATCCTGTGGCCAGTCTTCCACTACATCATCCCCGACCACCCCAAGAGCAAGGCTTTCCTCGACCACTCATGGGTCTTCTACGTCAAGGTCAACCAGGCCTTTGCCGACAAGGTCGTCAAGAACTACAAGCGCGGAGATGTCATCTGGATCCACGACTACCACCTGTGTCTGGTCCCACAGATGATCCGCGAGAAGCTTCCAGATGCACAGATCGGCTTCTTCCTCCACACTGCGTTCCCCTCCTCCGAAGTCTTCCGCTGCTTGGCCGCGCGGAAGGAGCTGCTCAACGGCATGCTCGGGGCGAACCTAGTCGCTTTCCAGACACCAGAGTATTCCCACCACTTCCTGCAGACGTGCAGTCGAATTCTCTCCGTCGAGGCTACTGAGGACGGTGTCCAACTTGAGAACCGCTTCGTCAACGTACACTCATCGCCTATCGGCATTGATCCTCGCGCTCTCGCCCTGGCCCGCGAGGAACCTGAGGTGCTAGAGTGGATTCAGACCATGCAGAAGCGGTACGAGGGCAAGAAGGTCATCGTTGCTCGCGACAAGCTCGACAACATCCGTGGTGTCAGGCAGAAGCTGTTAGCGTTCGAGTTGTTCCTCAACAAGAACCCCGAGTGGAAAGACAAGGTTGTTATGATCCAAGTCGCCACATCTACCACCGAAGACACTGAACTCGCTGCAACCGTCTCAGAGATCGTCACTCGCATCGACGCGGTTCACTCAACCTTGACGCATAACCCTCTCGTCTTCCTGAGGCAGGATATCGCTTTTTCGCAATATCTCGCGCTTCTTTCCATTGCCGATGCCCTCGCGATTACCAGTCTTCGTGAAGGCATGAACCTTACTTGCCACGAATTCGTCATCTGCCAGGACGGTCGCGCGAGTCCAAAGAAGCACGGTCCTGTCATCCTCAGTGAGTTCACCGGAAGTGCTTCAGTCTTCCAAGGTGCCGACTTGGCTGTGAACCCCTGGGACTACAACAGCATCGCACAAGCGTTCAAGGTCGCCTTGGAGATGACTGATTCCGAAAAGGAACGCAGATATACCAAGTTGCGCGATACGGTTATGCACCAGACTGGCGACTTCTGGGTTAACAACCTCAGCTGCCATCTCTCAAAGGTCCACGAGGAGCAGTTCAAGCGCGACACCATGTCCATTCCCCGTCTTTCGTCCAGCAATCTTGCGCGTACCTACCAGGCATCTCAGCGACGACTCTTTGTACTCGACTACGAAGGCACCCTCGCATCCTACGGATCTGTTAACAACACCGTCCTGGCGAACACCGAGCGTGTCATTGTCGTGCTGAACGACCTTGTTGCTGATGACAAGAATGATGTTTACGTCATGACTGGACGTACTGTTCGAGAGACTGAGCTCATCTTTAACCGCGTGCGAGGTCTCGGTCTCATCGCGGAGAACGGTTGCTTCTTGCGCGAACCCAGCGCGAAAGAATGGATACAATTTCCCGACGAGGAGAAGACTGTGAAATGGAAGGACTCCGTCAAGCCCATCTTGCAGTACTATCTCGAGCGTGTCGAGGGCAGCTGGGTTGAAGAGCGCCACTGCTCCATGATCTTCCACTACAGAGCGCCCAACGACAAGGATGACTCCGCAAGCCGACATGCTGGTGACTGCGCTAATCACATTAACGATGCATGCGAGCAGCAGCGCATAAAGGCGGTTCCCACCAAGGACTCAGTTGTCATCGAGCCGATCGACTTTGACAAGGCCTCCGCTTCACAATACATCTTCAGCAAGTACCCTGAGAAGGGTCGACCTGACTTTGTGTTTGCCGCTGGAAACGACCGAAGTGACGAGGGTGTGTTCCGCTGGGCAGAGCAGCTGAAGGAGGAATGGAAGGTTCCCAATGTTCAGACCGTCACCGTCGGTGACCGCAACTCAATCGCCATGTCGACATTGCCCAACGGCGCAACCGGTAAGTTCGCATTCTTGAATTTTCAACAAGACTCCACTAACACATCCCGCAGGTCTTCTCGGCGCCCTGAGCAAACTCGCGAAGAACCCTCGTACACCTTGAAACATTGGAGTACTTTGCGCAAGCGAGCAAACATGAACCTCTCTGCACGGGATATGTCTAGCGCATTTCGATACCCTCCTTACGACCTGATGATTGGTAATGGTAACGAAAGCACGGGGAACTTACTTTGGAAGGAAGGGATTGCGAAAGGGATGTTACGCATGAACGAATGTCAAGCATGGGTGGAGTCCGGTTGGTCTTTTCCTATGATAGATCTTTTCTACTCTCAATACGGAACCTAGAATCTTCTTCATGATGATGTTGCTGTTGATCTGTGTGATGATGTGAGTGTATCGAGGTCTATCGTTCTTCATCAATACGTGACCGACTAACGACAATCGAGGCATGTGTGAAGGGCTACTGTGGCTCACGCCACGTCTGGCTTATTTTTGGAAATGCATAAACAGCGATGCCGTTGGCGTCGCGTCACTGCGAAGTTGTGACAAGGTATGCCGGCCTTCATCTACACAGACGCGGCTGTGCGATGTCGTTCCCCAGCTTCGACGAAACACAACTTGGACAAGACTTAGGCACAACATAGCACACAAACACTTCAAAAGTTGAATGATGACACTGCTTTATTCATTCAAATGGCAACTGCAGTCTACGCTGCAAACATAAAGATATATACCACAAAAGATATTGAGAAGCGAATTAACAAGGCATCAAGAAGGGTATCGCTTAAACCAAAAGTATCATCCATCATCAAAAAACCCCAAGCCCATCAACCAAACCCCTCTCCCCCTCCCTCTCTCTCAGTCTCACTGCACTCTAAGCAAAGTTACCCCCAGCAGTCTTCTTACTATCCGCCGCAATACCAACGCCCTTGACCACAATCTCCTTACCCCCCTCACTCGTAATCTTAACATCGACGCTATCCGCGCCAAAGCCAGCCGGGTTCTCAAAGAAGTTGTACGGCTTACGCGTAGTCGGCTGCCAGGTCTTGCCAGAGTCGGTGGAGACTTCGAGTTTGGAGACGGCCACGTTGGAGTTCATGACTTGCATGCTGAACCAGAATTTGGAGGTGCCGGATTTGTTTTTCAGGACGATGGGGGTGGTGATGCCGCAGGGGATGGGGGTCCAGTCGACGTTGATTATGCCCTTGGAGGGCTCTGCCAGTTTGGCGAAGCCGTCGGGGTAGAGGTCGAGGTGGTTGGGGCCGCAGCTATGGGTGGAGTTAGTGGTTGTTTCATGTGGGGGTTGTACGGTGGGATTGCTTACCCTGGGCATTGGTCGGTGACCATGGCGGTGATTTTGTTACCGTTGGGGCCGGTTACGCTGACGCACACACCGCAGGCGTTGCCGTTGTCCCAGTTGGAGTCGGAGAGCGCGGTGCCGTAGAGACCGGCGGGGATGGTGTAGCCAACGAAAGAGCACATGCCGCCCTCAGTGTTTCCGCCGTAGAAAGTGGCTTCGCCGCGCTTGGAGGCGGCAGATGAGACGGCAGCCTTGTCAGCGGGAGCCGCGGCTTGGGATGCGGCAGGAGCTGGAGCCTTGGACTCGGAGGCAGGCACTGCGGCAGCGCTGGATGACTGCGCGGCAGCGTAGGACTTTGATGCTTCACTCTGGGGAATGGGAGTGTAGGCAAGCGAGCTGTAGTCTAGCTTGGTGGTCGGGAGAACGCTCATGGTAGGGTATGAGGGCGAGCCGGAAGATCCTGCAGGCTTGAAGAGAGCAGAGGTAGTGGCGTTGCCATAAGGAGCACCGGTTGGGCGAACGGTGACGGTGGTGAGGATCTCCTTGGTGCTGGTGGATGTGACATCTTCGACAGCGTCGGGAGTAGCAGAGCCAGCACCGGGGGTGACAGTGACATAAACCTTCTCGTAGGTGGTAGTGTAGACAGTGCTCCTGGATGAGCAAGCGCCAGACTTGCTAGCGGTGGCGTCGGCGACATCCACGGGCTTTGCAGTCTCGTACACTGTTTCAGTTGCAGTTGTGGTGACAGTCTGCTGGGAGCAGACGGACTCAGCAACAGCGAGACCCGCGATGGGGAGAAGAGAGAAGAAGGTGGACTTCATGGTGTCTGATGACTGTTTGATGGGGTGACGGAAGATGGAATTCGAACGACGACTTGTTGGAAAAGACTGTGTAGGATCGTATCAACGAGTCCTAGTAATGAATGGCAGCAGCTCAGCGGCTTGCAAAAATAAAGATGGAAGTTCGACTTCGTGTTGAGAGAGTTACCAGAAGCTTGAAGCTCTACGAAAGGGCGTCCCCGCCCTACATAAAGGCCTCGAACAACGCTTACATCTCATTTTACTTGACTAACCCAACGCAGCGCCACGCAGTAAACTAACATGTGGAAATTTGCGCTCGGGAGGAATGCGAATAAGCTCATCTCTTGATCACCAATTCCGTTGTCTCGACCCACCGAACGTAGCGGGAAAATGCCGGCCAGGTACCCACGCGCTTCTCGCCTTTTTCTAGTCCAGCCCCAGTGATATGCGTCCGTTGATTGACGGGCGTTTGGGGTTGAGCAAGTCAGAGTCCGTTTCAGAAAATGCTTGTGTCAATGCTTGGTATGATGAGTTGGGGGCATTGTGAGTCGTGTGGCGCTAAGGCGTAGGATGCGCTAAAAGGCGATCAAACATGCGTGAGATGAGAAGACGGGAACACACAGTATTTTTGAAATTCGCTGCCGGGAACCGGATTTTGAAAAGTAGAACACCGCAAGCGACGTTCTACAACTGCCTGTTGCGCAGCCGTAGCATGATGCGTTGTTTAGCAGTAACGCCGCGAGTGTGTTGTGTGGCTATGCGATACTAATTCGGGAACCAAAGCGTTTCAAGGAAACCGATTTGTGGCACTTCGGGACTTTATCGGCCGTGTAGTACAGTCGCGTGGTAACTACTAGTGAGTCTAGAACCAGTGTATATATTACACGAAATACCGAGCGTAGTCCGGTGATGGTCCGGTGGATATTGTTGACTCGGTAGGCGCCCGCAACATCGTCGACGAACCTGCTACATGATCCCGCATCCTCCACGTTGCGCCTAGATGAAACCCGATCTGTAGACTGTTGACCATATCAGAACTGTGAGTCCATAAACGGATGTAAGGATGCGTAGATGTGGATCCGAAGTCTTCCCCACACAAGTACAACAGGCTAGAGCATACAACAACAGCCCCGCGATGGCGTCGGTGATACTCCTACCATCAATCTAAATACCGGCTCCTTCCAGAGAGATTGTTCGCTGAGAATTCGCTTGCATTCGGGTGTAGCCAGAGTTGTCGTAGTCGCGGTGACAGCACACACTTCGAAGTCTCCGCTTGGAACAGGGCCATGCCAACCAGAACCGCTGCGATGTCGCGACATCTTGGTCTTCCCAAAGAATACGAGAGTAGTTTCTTCCTGGTCATCTGTGACCTGTATGACGAACCAATTGCGCTTGAGCGCGTTCTCGCCTTGCTTCGTCGCCGAGTAAAGTTGTGGACGGCGTAATCTAGCAACTAATGACAAGCTGCCGTCATCTGGACGTTCATTCCACGACGATGCAGAAGTTGTTCATTCCCGGTCCGTCTCTGATCTTCTTTTTCTCGGCCGTCACAGCCTTGGGCTCATTTGTCAGGGTAAACAAGTAGTAGCACAGCTTTGAAGTGTTTTTGCTGGATCTCATCGTAAAACCTAGATCGCCCATGATTCCCAAAAACAAATCCTCGTCGAGATAGCGTGAGTTGTCGACGCACGGTAGAGGTAGAACAAAGAACAGAGCTGGCAACACAGAATCGGCCGTCTCAGTCCATGCAACGCCCTTTCTCAAGAACTTGGTGATGCGTTTGAGCATCTCGCCTCGACCAACTGCATCCGGAACATAGTTGAGTACGAGAGATAGGGAGATAATATCGAAGCGTTCATCGTCGCATGTAGGAAGTGGCCGCTCCATGAAATCCTGCTTTTCGATGCCCGGCCCTTGACTGTTCAGATCGATTCTCGTCATGTCGATGACGCTTGCGTACTTTGAGATCTCGTTCTTAGTTGACAAAGCTCCAACTTCGAGACATCTGAGTTCGGCGTTGCCAGCGCTGCGGCGATCCCGTGCTTTGGGGTCCAAAACCTTGGATTGCTGGAGCCAGTCGACTAACAGCTTGCTAGAATCACCACCCCTGTCTTTCGCCTGACCTTGCTTGCTTGCAGCCTGGTACATCTTGATGCCTCCATTTCTCTCGATAGCTTGCGCAATCTCTTCTGCTGAGCTCACATCCCCTTTCTTCAGAGCTGCTGCATGCTCCTTCTGTAGTCGGTGATGGGTGCGAATGATAGTCCTGGAGCGCTCCGAGGTCATCCGCTCTTTCGGCTTGCTGACGGGTGGCCGGCCATGCGACAGAGTCTTTTGGCGCTTTTTGACGGCCATGACGATTTTGATGTTGCAGTCACATGGCTGAGGTAAGGTGATGGTTGAGCGACGCCGAGAGCTCAGATGCAAGGATTTGGCGCTAGTGTGCTAGCGTGCTTTCTTCCCACACTCGACTTGTAGCCGGAGCAAAAACCACAACTTTTCGATTGCGACTCTCGACACTAACTCCAGGACCACCACAACCGCCAAAATGGGACCCAAGGCCGTATCCAAGAGTACGTCAACGCAGACACCGCAACCGCGAAATCGAGGAGGAGCATAAATGTCGCAAAGTGGCACCGGACCACGGCAGCAGTCTGTGGAAAAGGGAACTTTGCGAATGCGCCTCGATCAGCGACCCTCCTATTGCGCTCATCGCTAATATCCTTCACAGCCCCTACCAAGACTGGCAAGCAGGCCAATGCTGCTGCCAAAGCGGCCCTCCGCGGCGTAAGCCTCCCTTGATCCTCTTGAGTCGTGTCAGAAACATACCTCTGACGGGCTGTACTTCTCGTGTGATGGGCACAATTAACGAGATGACAGTCGTATGCGAACAAGAAGCGCGCGATCAGGAAGAACACCAGCTTCCACCGGTATGCCCGACCCCAAGACTGCGAGATGTTGCCTGCTAACGTGACGCAGCCCCAAGACCCTCGAGCTGTCCCGCGCCGGCAAGTACCCTCGCAAGTCGGTCCCCCATGCCCCCCGCATGGACGCCGAGAAGGTTCTCATCCACCCTCTCAACACCGAGTCGGCCATGAAGAAGATTGAGGAGAACAACACCCTCGTCTTCATCTGCAACGTCAAGGCCAACAAGCGCCAAATCGCCGCCGCCCTCAAGAAGCAGTACGACGTCAGCTGCGTCAAGATCAACACCTTGATCCGCCCCGACGGCTCAAAGAAGGCTTTCTGCCGCCTCACCGCCGATGTCGATGCTCTCGACATTGCGGCCACCAAGCTCGCCATCGTTTAAAGAGGTGGTCTCTGTATAAGGGAAGGCATGGTCATGATAGGGTCTGGTTATACCCGGCAATGGAAAAAGCGATGTGATATGCATGGCGGGCGTTCATGGGATAAACGTAGTCACGGTGACTCGAATGAATCAGATTTCCACATGACGCCAAGTTGGACTTGGTCCTCAACAAGTTTTACATTTCCGTGCCGTGATGATACTCTTTCCTGAATTGTGGTTCCTGGACATGCAGTATAGATCGATCTTTCAGCCACGAAAACATTCAAAAAGCCATGAAAGTTTGCGTAGGAGAGATTAATACAATGCTAGACTCAGCGCAATGTCTATCATGTACCTAATATCTCCATTCCCAATGCCATACACCCGACGCTCCCCGTGATGCAGTGTTATACAGATCATAAAGTCCCCTCATTATCATACACATCCTCTCTCGTCACTTGTGTCACCCCCTCTCTTCCCATACCCCATCTATCCCCTCAACCTCTCCAACTCCCTCAGCACAACCATATTCGCATCCAAGAACCGATCCACACACTGCCGCATGCACGGCTCCTCGTACTTGTCCAATTTGCCCGCCTTGACGGTACCCGCGGGGATGCATTTGCGGAAACATGTGTCGGTGAGGGAGTGTATCGCTATTTGGAGGAGTTGAGTTAGCGAATGGGTACTTATGGGAGTGGGAATTGGGAGGTGCTTGGGTGCACGGTATTGTGGGCTGTTGTATCTAGAGAATGACGTGAAGCCATGACGCACAGTGCCAATGCACCCCAAGAAAGCTTTTGAGAGAAAGCCAAAACATACAAGATTGAATCCTCGCCTTCTGTCCCTCATTCATAGCGAATTGCTGCAGTTCCTGCTTGTCGCGGTCGGACAGCTTGCTCAAGTCGGCGTTGCCGAAACCGCCACCACCTAGGGAGTCCATCTTTTCTTGTGTGTATGTGGGGTCGCGAGACTGCGCCGGCGTGTATCGTGGGGGTTTTCGGGTGGAGGACGAAGACGGTGTGGCTGGTTGCAAGTGCGGGCTGTAGTTTTTGTCTGGATTGACGTACTTGAAGCTTTGCGCATCGGAGGTTCAGCCGCGGAGGGACCGATGGGGGTTAGTCAGCCTTTGGGAAGACGAACACACTCAAGATTTGGGGTTGCTGACTTCCTTGTCTCTCTTCAACGATTTTGAGTCCCATGGTTGTTTTTTTCTTATTGCAAGTTCCGGAAGTGCTGGGTATGTATGGGTGTTGGATTGGCAACAGGTCAGATGTTATGATTAGAACCGACAACAAGACGCTCAGTCTACGGACTTTGGCAGTGTCATCCTCAACACATGCTCCCGAACGACGTTCCTTCCGTCCTCACTTCTTCGCATAGCTCGCGTCTCATTGTATACATCAGCCACCCCCATACCTGCCTCCTCGTTTGCTGCAGACGCCGTGGTACCAGCAACGTAAAACAGGAAATACGGCCAGTTCTCGTCTTCCTCCGCCTTGAACACTCTCACCTTGGAGATGATCTTGTTACCTCCCAACCGCCTCTTATGCTGCATAAGGAAGTAGCCAGCCCATCGCCCAACAGGGCTTCCCAACAGAGCTTTCCCAGCGTCCGTCTCCATGCTAAAATCGTTTCCTGGCCAGGGGTCCGGCACCTCCCCCTTCGGTGGCGACAGCATACGCCGGGCGCGTTTAACGTGTTGACGCGTCTCTCCATTGATGATCTGCATAACGAACAGGTACCTGATGTTCTGGAATTCTCGCGGGTTGGTATGAACGCGATTCCAGACCGCCCACGCCATATCCGAGACACTGCGTATTGCAGGCAAGGCATCGGCAGGGGGCTCTTCTTCCCATAGGGAGCGTGCATTTCTTGCGGGAGAGAAGAGAATGTTTCCGTATATTGCGCCTGCTTGTGAGTTGGCGCCAATATTGAATGATGCGCCCGTACTACGATATTCCTTGCCGCAGACCTCGTACCGTTGATCCTTTAATTCCGGCATTTTGCCGTTTTCGTCCTTCTTCACGGCTGGACCGTTGGAATGCTCGATTTGGAAACATTGGTTTTGACCACCCTGGCGCATGCTCTTGGTTCCGATGGCTAGTTCGTCAAAGACTCTCTTCATCGAGTGGCCGTAGGGGTCGTCAAAGTCGCATGCTTCGTCTCCTGTCGTGGCGAGCTCCTCATTCGCATCGTTGTAGCCCCATTCACGTAGCTTGGCGACGAGGTCCCCGTCGAATGGACTTTCAGCAGTGGTGCCTAGGCTGTAGAGAGCCGCGGCTTCAGCGTCGCTGGACCTCATGCCTTGGAGGAGCTTGGCGCCACGGGCGACAGCCAGTGTCCATAGGTCACCAGTGGCGGTTCTGACTGGGTCAGTTCCGGTAGCGGAGTGGAGTTTGTTGTTGAAGGTGGTCTTGATTGTCGAGATGAGGGTAGTGTTAGAAAGACCAGCCGGGAGAACAATAGCTACAACAGAAGTTGCGGAAAGCAGTAACAGCCCCATCGAGCGTGACGTGAGATACGATGCGCGCATCTTCAGTTAGTTGGAGGGGGGTTTGAATAGTTGGGGATAGGAGTCGAGACCGGTGAGTCTATGCAGGATATCGAGTAAAGTTGAGAGAGCAAACGCAGCCAGTAAGTGAGCGGTGGAGCGGCGGAGTCCAGTTTGGCCTCCATTCGCACTAACACTCAAGAAGCATATTCAAACCCATTCAAACCATTCACTGCGCCTTGGTCACATGATTCCCAAATTCTGTTCTGCACACTTGCACGCCCAGATTTCAACTGCTACACAGGCCTCACACTCTCTTCTCAAGAAGCATACTACGAGACTGGTGACCTTGAACTTACATGGTGCTATGCAAAATAATATTTCATATCGAGAACAACCCTTCAAATGCACAAGAACGCCATGCCCATTACCACCCGGATATCAAACTTTTACTAAACAAACACATTACCAGACAACTATTGTCATTCCGACATCGTCATGATCTCCATACTTTCGTTCCTAAGCCCCAATCATCTCTTTGGGCAGGCATGCAAAAACAGTGCTGATGATAGCCATAATAGTGCTGACGACAATCAACACCCAGTTCATCGTCTTCTCCCCACTAGATATCTCTTTTCCAAACAACTTCAAGTGAAACGCCAAGGGTAGGATGATGCAAATGCTAAAGCAGGCGACACTGCCGAGAAGTGTCATGATGCGGTCGAATGAAGGAAATACGATTGCGATGATAACGAATATGACGATGGTAATGATGCGAAGGGTGATCTTGAGCGCTCCTCGAGTGAGTCCGCTCATGCCGTCGATGGACGAGGACATGGCGAGAGAGCGTGTGTCCAGACCGAAGAGGACTTCCAACGTGCTGACGATAGGGCGTGCGTTGAGCGGGATCTTGGTCAACGGAATGATGGCGATGCAGATGGCGATGAAAACGGAGATGCCTTGAGGGAAACCTTTGGTGAGGAAGATGTTGCTTGTCACTTCCTCTTTGACACCGTCTCCGAACATGAGGATACCGGCGCAGGCCATACCGACATCGATCAAGTAGGTGAAGATGTAGGTGACATTGACGGCCTTCCTGTACTTGTATGGGTGTCGCATGTCACGGTAGATGTTTGGAAAGACGGAGTGGCCACCCCAAGGGGACATGAGAAGGCCAATGGAGAGTGGTACGGTCATCCAGTTGTCGGGGAACAAATATTGGGTCATTGGCTGACGAATGGAGCCGGGAGCGTCGGGTTTGGCAAGTCCATCGACCCAGATAGCGAGGGTGACTATTTCGTGTTAGCTGACGTATATGAAGCATGTGGTTATTGACTCACTTCCAAAGCAAGACATTACACCCAAAATAGATGTGAATGACAGAAAGCGGAGGGGTAGGAAGCTCAATGGTATCAAGATCAGCCCGCAGACAATCTTCCATTGGAAGACGTCCCAACCGGGGATAAGAGCGTCCATGCTGTCAGCGAAAAGCACGACCAGTGCTACACATGCTGCTAGTAGCTCTAGCGAGAACAGAATGCTGGTGGCCACTCGCGCTTTGGTTCCAAAAGAGACGTAGGCAAGATCAGCAAAGGTAATGAGAGAACCATCAACGTCGAGACATTTGGCTAGGAGCTTTGCAGTGTAGCCGGTCACTATGGCAGACCACGCGAGGAAAACCATGCCTATCAGCCATCCGGAGTACTTGAGCGCAAGTGGCAATGTGAGCAGTCCAACGCCGACCAGAACGTTGACGGAGTTGAAGATTGTCTGGGGTAGGGTGGATTGACCAACAACTACGTTGATAATGTGTCCGTCCTCCTCGACCTGCTTGACCAGGAGCGGCTCTCGTTCTTGTTCTGGCTCCCCAACGCCCTTCATTTGTTGCTCTGTGAAGAGTCGGCCGGCATGGCGCATGGACGACTCGTTGACGCGCGAACTCAGACTGCCGTATCCCGTGCCATAGCTCGCGCCGAAGGGTGACGATAGCGAAGGTTCGATCTGGAAAATGCTCGACCCTCTCCCTCTCAGGCGCTGTTCGACGCCGTTGGGCAGCAGCTGGCTCCGCTCGGTCGCGCCATTCTCTTCGTCTGTGATGGCATTGTCGGATGCGCGTCTGCCCTCATTCTGGAAGGCCTGTCGCAGGGCGGATCGCTGGTCGGGTACTGGCGTGGGCAGTCCGCTGCGCGAGAAGTCGGACTCCTCTGTGTCGTCGCCTTCGTCGTCTGTCTCGACACGGAAGGAAGGGCGCACGGGGGTGATCTCGAAGAAGCCGGCTGCACGCTGCCACGATCGCGCAAAGTTGTTGATACTGTTGACGCCTCCAACTTCGCCCAGTGCGCTAATCTGCTGTCCTACGGAAGACCTGCTTTCTGTTAGCTGCCGTGTCACGCGAACGGCGCGATATGCTCACCTCCGCCTGCGCAGCTCTCCCGCGGTGCCCGTCCACCTCCCGGCATTGCTCTCTCCACTGGGCCGCCTCGAGAGCTCGTCCCACTGCACATGGCTCTCCGTATCTGAGTCGATGGATGGGCGGTTGGAGTCGTAGGCGCTCCAGGCGGATGGCTGCTTCCCTCTGTTATCCATGGTGAGTACGTCAGGGCGTCACGACAGATGGAGCAGGCGCGACCAAGAAGAACGTATGGGGCAGGACAGGCGATATATCGTCTAAAACTGTTGATTCAAACCCTGCAGGGAGGCGGGAGCTACTTGAGTCGATAGCTGGCTATCGTCGGGATGAGATTGCGCCTGGTGGATTGCGGGTGATAGCCGCTATCCATGACCGTCCTGATTATATAAAGAAGCGCCGAGCGAGACACTTCTGCCATAGAAAGACGCAGAAAGTCAAGATGGCTATCACGAGGGATTCATGCGGCCCCGCCGGTCTGCCGTCATAGCTGCCCCCAGCCGGAGCTACCCAAGGCACGCGCTGATAACGGGTTACTGCACATGCGCTGCTGCTGCTCTCCATGCCCGCCGCCCGCTGAGTGGCCGTGCAAGCGAGCCTCTGTCAGCGCCCAGTCGACTGCCCTACCGTGACTGTGCTGCCTTACGGGCACAGTCAGGGACAAATAAATTCACATAAGCCGAGTGGGCTGCCGTTTGCCTCTCCTGAAGACTTTCGCATTCACGTAGCCAAGGCGCGCAGTAGTCACAGGCCGCGCTCTCCACCCTCCTCCCGCCGCCAGTCGGCAGCTACGTCGCTTGTTCTTGCCCCTCGCCGAACAAGAAAATCTCTCGACCCCACCAACACCACTACCTCACCTCGACACCACCGCCGCGACCATGTCGTCCGGGAAGAATGAGCAGCCCAATGAGGCCGAGAAAAACATCGAGATCTGGAAGGTCAAGAAGCTAATCAAGCGTCTCGAAGCAGCCCGCGGAAATGGCACATCCATGATTTCCCTCATCATCCGTAGGTGACACCTGACGACCTAGCAAAATGCCGCAGACTGACCATTGTAGCGCCCAAGGATCAGGTTTCACGTGCCGCGAAGATGTTGGCTGAAGAATTCGTGAGTACCAGGACACCCTGCGCCGGCGCCGTCACTAATTTTCCAGGGTACCGCCTCCAACATCAAGTCGCGCGTCAACCGTCTCTCCGTCCTGTCCGCCATTACCTCGACCCAGCAGCGTCTCAAGCTCTACTCAAAGGTCCCGCCCAATGGCCTCGTTGTCTACTGTGGTGAGATTATCACCGCGGAAGGCAAGGAGCGCAAGATCAACATCGACTTCGAGCCCTTCAAGCCTATCAACACGTCGCTATACCTTTGCGACAACAAATTCCATACCGAGGCCCTGAGTGAACTGCTAGAGTCGGATCAGAAGTTTGGCTTCATCATCATGGACGGAAACGGTGCGCTCTTTGGCACTCTGTCTGGAAACACGCGTGAGATTGTCCACAAGTGAGTGCGACCAATACCTTTTAGCATACAGCTCACTAATTGGTGCAGGTTCTCCGTCGATCTCCCCAAGAAGCACGGCCGTGGTGGTCAATCCGCTCTGCGTTTCGCCCGTCTTCGTGAAGAGAAGCGCCACAACTACGTCCGCAAGGTCGCCGAACTGGCTGTACAGAACTTCATCACCGCCGACAAGGTCAACGTAGCCGGTATTATTCTCGCTGGTTCCGCCGACTTCAAGAACGACCTTAACCAATCCGATCTCTTCGATAACCGTCTGCAGTCCAAGGTCATCAAGGTCGTCGACGTGTCCTACGGAGGCGAGAACGGTTTCAACCAGGCCATCGAGTTGGCTGGCGAAACCCTCAGCAACGTCAAGTTCATTCAGGAGAAGAAGCTCATCAACGAGTACTTTGACCACATCTCCAAGGACTCCGGCAAGGTCTGCTACGGTATCGACGACACCCTGAAGGCTCTGGAGGCTGGTGCTGCTGAGACTCTGATTGTCTTTGAGAACCTGGAGATCACTCGCTGGGTTCTCAAGAGCTCTGCGGGCGCGGAAATTATCCTCCACACCACCAAGCAGCAAGAAGAGGACCGAAGCATATTCATGGACAAGGAAACCGGCCAAGAGATGGAAGTCATCGATCAAGGCTCTATGCTTGAGTGGCTCGCCGAAAAGTACCGCGACTTTGGTGCCAACCTGGAGTTTGTTTCCGACCGTTCTTCCGAGGGCAACCAGTTCGTCAAGGGCTTTGGTGGTATCGGCGCCATCCTCCGTTATGCGCTCAACTTTGAGCAACTGCAAGACTTCGACGAAGATGAAGATGAATTCTACGATGATTGACGGTTGTGCGTCCTCGCTGACTGCGAGGTAGCGTCCCCACTCGCTCCGAGTGACGGAACGTCCGCTACCTGCGCGAAAAGTCAAAAAGACGTGTCCGAGATCAAGGCCGGAGTAGTCGAAGCAACGACACTTCGCCTTTCCAGATTGTAAGATGGGAGTGCCTATGGAGGGTTTGCAATGTACGACTAGTATCCGTCCCCCAGCAACCATTGACTAATTTTTACAAGGTCGACCAGCACCATTCTTACCACGACCCGCTCTCGCTTGCATGGAGAGGCAGCAGCCTCATACAGGCTCGACCTCTTCAAACCTCGGTCTGAGAAGCTCTAACTTAGCTACAATAAGGACTAGAAAGCATAGGGATCCAGAAGGGTGGCTACCGTCAATTGTCGATTGCGAACCTCTTGAAAAGTAGTCCTTTACGGAAGAAGGACAGGCAGATTGCTCGCCCAATATGCGTCAGCTTGTCGCTCGCTCTACTCCAGCTGAATATAAAATTGATTTGAAAATGAGATTCCATGTTCATAACGATGCGCGTGACGTTTTGTGCTGTATACAAGGCCCTACCCTTTCGATATCAATTTCAAGACAAACATTAGGGCGCAACACGCCCCATGGGGATGACAAGTTAGTCTTTGCTTTTACTAGCGCCGATACCGGGTTCCGACGTCATTCCGAGATTCAGTGATTTATCTGTGTACATACGCAACATCTCAGAAGCCACGCACAAACATGGCGGCAGAAAAGAGACCGATCGTGGCCTTCCTAGGTCCAGAGGGCAGCTATACACATCAGGTGAGTCAAATTATAAAAGCATGATAACCATGATTGGGTTTCCTCACTCAAATCTGGCCAACATCTTGCACAGACAATGTCACTGGTTCAGTCTTTCGTCACAACCACTTTTCCGTATATCCTTCCTTTCGTCACAAACAATAGATGACAAAAATCCCCCTCTCTCTCCCATTAAGATCCATCTCTCACACCCAACCCCCACATCCCCATCCTAACAACATCCCCCACAGGCCGCCCTCTCCGCCTTCCCCCCAGCCTCACCAACAACCCCACCCGTAACCCTCACCCCCTCCATAACAATCGAAGACGTCTTCTCCGCCGTCCAATCTCGCACCGCATACCGCGGCGTCGTCCCCTTTGAAAACAGCTCAAACGGCAGCGTAGTCTTTACCCTCGACCTCTTCGCCGACCTCAACAACAAGTATCCTGATATTCTTGTTACGGGAGAGGCGTATGTGGCTGTTAAGCACTGTTTGTTGGGGTATGCATCCACTGCGACTAAGAATGGAGATGGAAGAGATGGAGATGGGAGGGATGGAAGAGATGGGAGAAACGGCAAAGACTTTTCGCACATCAAGAAACTGTACTCGCACCCGCAAGCCTGGGGCCAGTGTAAGATGTTTCTGGATAAGTACCTCAAGACGGCTGAGAGGCACGACGTGAGTTCCACGAGCAAAGCAGCGGAAATCGCGAGTCAAGATAAGACCGGCGAGTCCGCCGCGTTATCTAGTGAAATCGCCGCAGAGCTATTCGGACTGGATGTACTCGCGAAGGAAATCAACGATAAAAAGGGTAACAGCACGAGGTTCTTCGTCATACGCCGGAAGCACGATGATGCCATGCCATCTACAACCACACCCACACCCACAACCACAACTCCAACTCCACCGCCACCGCCATCACCCAGCTCCTATAACGCAAACACCTGGAAATCACTCATCACCTTCACCATCGAGCATTCGAATCCTGGTGCGCTGGCGAATTGTCTGACGGTGTTTTCACGTCATGGGATTAACCTCACGAGTATAAATACGAGGCCGAGTGGAGTAAGGAATTGGCATTATGTTTTCTTTGTGGAGTTCAAGGGGAGGAAGACGGATGGTGGTGGGGAAGACGGGGATGGGGATGGGGATGTGGATAAAGCGCTGGGAGAGCTGGATAAGGTGTGTAGGGGGTGGAGGTGGTTGGGGAGTTGGGAGAATAGGCTTGTGGATGAGGGGGAGACAGGGGGAGAGTGAGGTGGTGATGGTTCGGTGGATGGTGGCGGGGGGAGGGATGAGGGGATCAGAAGGAGATGTTTTGTTTCCTTCAGGGTGGTTTCTAGGGATGGAGGATATCATTTAGATCACATTGACATCTCAACACTCTAAGATGCGTGGAATTGCTCTTTCGTAATCTCGTTCGTGAACTACTTCACTACGCGCCAAGGCTATTACTCAGCGTTCGTATAGTTCTTCCTTTTGAAACCCCCCAGCGTAGTGCCGTTCGCCAATGCATCCTCGCAGCCACCACCAAGCGCAACGAACATCTACTTCGTCCGGTCAGGAATAGGTTCCTTGGGCGCCCTCCACTCCTTAACAAAAGGCAAGAAGTCAGGCTGACCCGGAATGTATTTCCTTAGCACCTCCGGAACGACGAAGCCCTCGGGTGTCTGGTAGTTCTCAAGGATACAGCAAAGAGTTCGCTCGGTCGCACACACTGTAACACACAGATTAGTTTCCTGATTCCCTTCTCAAGCGAGAGAAGATGGGGTGCCGGGAGTAACTTACGAGTACCGTTAAGCGCGTGAACATACTCCTTCCTCGTAGCGTTCAACTTCTTAATCCCATGTCTAATCTCCAGCTCGCGCGTCTGGTAGTCGGTACAGTTGGAAATGGAAACAAGCTCCTTGTACTCTCCACCACCCGTAACGGGGAACCAGGCCTCAAGGTCGCGCTTCATCGAAGCAGCGTTGTTCAGCGCACCAGAAACGATGGCAACGACCTGGTAAGGCAAACCTAGGCTCTGGTAGAACTCCTCAGAGTTGGCTAGCATCTCATCGAAAGCTTCCCATGACTTCTCGGGGTTTGTGAGGAGGAACTGCTCAACCTTTTCGAACTGGTGTATCCGGAAGATTCCCCATGCGTCTTTGCCGTGCGAACCAGCTTCTTTCCGGAAGTTTGTGGAGTATCCGGCGTACTTTATGGGTAGCTCCTTGTCGTGTAGCCATTCCTCGGAGTGAAGGGCGGAGATGGGTTGTTCTGAGGTGGCGATGAGGTACTTGTCGGTCTCTGGCTTGTCCTTGCTCTCGGTGACCTTGTACAGTTCCTCGTCGAAATCGGAGAGTTGTGCGGTCTTCGCCATCTGGTCGCGCAGCATGAAGAAGGGCGGTTGGTTGGGTGTGAAGCCTTTGCTGAACTGAGGAATTACCACGTCAGTATAGCGTTCTGTAGAACTTGGTGCTTTGCGCGCTTACCAGGAATTCAAGACCGTAGTTGATGAGCGCTTGGTTGAGGAAGACACCGTATCCAGTCAGGCAGTATCCTCTGTGCCCAACAATCTTGGTGCCTCTCTCCGGGTCGTATCCATTCAACCGCGCTAGTACACCATGATGTGGGATGCCATCTGCCTTGAACTCTGCTTTCCGGTCCGCAGGAGCCCATGTCTTCTGAACCGCGTTGTTGTCCTCACTTTCGCTAACTGGAACGTCCTTGTACACGTAGTTTCCGACCGTCTTCGTCTTTGTGAGCAGCTTGGCCAGTTTCTCCGCAGCCTCAGCCTCCTTCTCCTTCTTCTCGGCCTCCAACTTCTTCTTCTCCTCGAGCAGCTCGGAGGCATCTTCCTTGGCCTTCTTTTTGGCGCCGATATTCTTCTGGACCGCGTTTATCTTGGAGCCGAATTGGGTGGCATCGTACTGTGTGCGACGGTGGTCTGTAGCCGGTGTAAGTTCTAGTGACCCTCCCGGCAAGACTTTTGGAGTCGCTCTTGCCTTCAAAGTCTGCGATGATCTCGTCGACAATCTCTACGGGCGCGCATCGCTTCTTCTGGGACTCGCGGATTTTCTGGTCACAGTATTAGCATGAGAACAACATTCAATGTCGCGCAAGAACGATTTGGGGAATACATACGTCGGGCTCGCCGCCGCGCTCCTTGATGAAGTCGTTTCTGTATAGACGCGAATGTCAGCCCATATCTCTTCATACCCCCAACGTAACCGCCAATCTCGCCCTCTCCATGTCTAATCCCCCAAATCCAGCCCCTCCAGGCCCGACTTCAGCGCGTGCGCATCCAAGCAGCCCCCACTTTCTCCTCGCGCAAAAAAAAGAGGCAACGTACATATCGAGCATCCTGTTCGTCTCTAAGCTTGCGTATCACAAGCAGAATTCGTCGTGTGTGGTGTGAGTAGACTCGTATCGAGAGATGTACAAAACGCGGGACTCATCAGTGTCCCGCACCTTACTCAAACAGCGACAGGGATTAGATTGAGCGACCCGCACTAGAGCGAATCAGGACGAGTCTGGTCAGAACGCTTGGCGTTTTCCTCTTCCGCTGGGATACCACGCGAATTGAAAGTGCTGCACTCGATGGGCGGGATGCGAAACTGCCTTATTGGGAAGGTAGAAATGAATGACGTATGCACCGGTGATGTGACAACATTTGTGCATTTCAAAGATGGATTATATCTCCCAAGCCCAGGTTTACAGGAAAGCATCGGAGGCAAAACACATCTTGCAGAGCATCAAAGCTCAAACTGCCGAATCGAGTAGGCTGGACAGAAGTGCCGTTGAAAGCAGTAGCTTTTCCGTCAAAGCTTCGAGCTTCCTAATACTGTAAGGTCTGTGGGTAGAAATGGTGGGTGGTGGTCGGTGCATCGCAAGCCTGTCGAGTCGAAATGCAGGGCCCGGCGTGACCTTCAGAACTCCACGCGAACATTCATGTACACAACTTCAAGCTGACATGAACGTATACCGTCTATTGTTGAAAGTAACGTAAAGTGATACGTAGTACTACAGCCGTGAAACATCGTCATTGACAAACAGCTTGAACCCCAGAATACCAGATGATAACGCCTATTACACCACCGCTCACACCATTACGCCATTACACACTATTGCCTTCCATGAGGATAGTGAAAACCCAGAACGCGTAGAAGAATCATCGCGACAAGTCAGCCACCGTCTATGCCATCTACAACAACCAAACAAAAGTATACCTCCTCTTACTTCTTCTTGAGCGCGTTCGTGAGATGGTCAAACGGGTGCTTGAGGAGGTGCGCACTGTTCCGCCGCTTCTTCTCCTTGTCCTCGCGCTCCTTCTGGAGAGCCGGGTATTTGTCCACGCCGACTGGTACACGCGCTCATGTCAGTCAAGAATCTTGGAATTACATGACTGTACATTTGCTGCCGCCAGCGGGCTCACCAGGGTTCTGGGACCGCTCCACCTCCGCAATCATAAGCTCAAAGGCCTTTTGTACGTTCTCGTTGTAGCGCGCGCTGGCTTCGGTGTGGGCACATTTGAACTCGGCGGCGAGGGCTTTGCCGTCTTCAGGCGTGACTTGGCGTTGTTCGGGACGCAGGTCAGACTTGTTGCCCACGATGACGAGAGGAACCCATTCGACGGCCTAGTGTGAGGGGTGGTTAGGCAGTGGCGCGGAGCGTGTCACATGTCAGACTCACAAGGTGGTTCAGGATCTTATCGCGAATGATGCGCGCCATCTCGAAGCTCTGCTTGTTGGCAACCGAGTAGACAATCATGTAGCCATGAATGCCGATAAAGTGCTTGGAGTTGAGAATGCTGTATTCATCCTGGGAGGCGGTACCCGAGTCAGCGGGTGCTCACAAACAGCTTGAGGTGCACGGCATGGCATGCTCAGCAGAGACGCGCGTGAAGCATCGCAGGTGGGGCGTCAACCTGGGCTGAGCTTCGCGACGCGGGGGAAAAGAAAACCTCATGTACCTGGCCAGCCGTATCGATGATCTCAGTCGCATAGTCCTGGTTCTTGTACTTGATCATCTTGCTGAACGTATTCTCGATGGTCGGGTAGTAGCTGTCGACAAAGTGCCCGTCGACGAATTGCACCGTCAGACTCGACTTGCCTGTGCACCCTCGCGTCAGTATGCTGTTTGTTGGTACTTGCATGTGAAGCTGCGCGAGCTTCGGGCAACCACGTACCGACGGCTCTGCTGCCGACAATGGCCACCTTTCTCTGCTTGGGAGGGGGCGCCATCTTGCTGCTGGGTTTGGGAGGAGGTCGTGAGGAAGCTGAACGACTCGCCAGGTTTGAGGTTTGGCTGTCTCAGTCCACCGCTGCGATGTAGCTGCCTAGGTTGCGTTTGGTGCTTCGGACCTGCCAATTGCCTGTAGGAGCTAGCTTCCAGCCCGGAATGACGCCGTCTAGCTGCAGGTGATGGGTACGTGTGGCACGAACAAGCTGGTTCACTGGCCCGAGCGCTGTAGCTACTGTCGTGAGGATGTATGGTTCGAGGCAAACTTCAGCGAGCGTCGTGCCAGAGTTGTAGGTGAAGAGCAGGCGTTGCTCACGAAAAAAAGTCCCCGACGGGGTGCTGATGCCGTCATGTCTGCCGGCTCCCATCTCGATATAGCAGCAACGACTCGCGGCCGCATATGAAAGTTGGGCAACCATGATATATCGCTTTGGGTTTGGCACCGAGCAGCTGGTATTGGGTTCCGCAGTTCTGGCCATCCAAGCCGAACAGTGCACCCCGTAGCCGACGAATCCAGAGCTTCTCGAAGCATTCATTTACGTATTACCAATCGTCTCGAGCCTAGCGCAAACCTGTCCAGCACACTACCTGCAGATACTCCATTCACCTACAACCACTCAGCGCCATCAGAACCTCCGAAATGTCAGAAACTATCGCTGCCCTTCCCGACGCCCCGAGCATACAACTTAGCCGAAATGATGTCGGGCGTTCTTGACTCAAGGCGAAACCATCACATGCAAGTCGTTGCAAAAGTGAAAAAAGTTGCTCGCCCGGATATTACACGCCCGCTGCATGGAAGTTCTGTAGAAGGCATCTCGCAAATTGCCCCGACGGCAGAGCCACTCCACATGCCGGCTGTTGCGTCACTTGAGCCGGCCTTCTGGGTCGGGTGCAGCCTTACGGACGGGTACGTGCGAGGTTACAAGCCTTCATTTAGCCTCTACTGCCTACGCGATGGGAATACGAGCGGATAGCGGCGACGAATAGACGACATGTCGCTCAATCAGTATAAGCTTGCAGGTTTCTCATATAACTGCTACGGGTCATTTGCTAGCCTGAAGAGCCTCGCTGCACGACCGTTACTATTCACATCTCTGTCCAAGATGCTGGGGTATCGAAATCTTTATATACAATACAAGCGATCCCTTCCCAGCAATGACCGCATACGCGTAATTCGGGGTATCATGCCATAGCCATTAAAGACCCAACCAATAAGAAGCTACCTGTGAAGAGGGAAATGACTTGCTGCCCAATGGTAAACAACCTGAGGGTCAATCAAGTAAAGACAAAGCGCGTCTGATCAGTAATGAACCAATGCCCAGGCGGCATACCAGAGTCAAGCCTCCGCATCTCTGCACCATCAAGTGCTCGCATTCTGTAACCGTTCCACGACAAGCATGAGGCGCGCCGTGTAGGACTGCAAAGCCTCTTGACCCTCTGTTCCCTCAAGATTTCCTGCCTTCTGGTCAACGTGTTGGTGCACACGGACAAATTCCTTGATGCTATCGACAAGGGTGTCAAGTCGCTTGTTCGGTAGCAGCGTGCGGACCTTTGCCCTTATCTGGTCGTTGAGACTCAGATTACCAAGGAGCACGGCAAGATATCCAATGGCTACACCAGAATGCGATTCTTCCATAGAAGCAGCCTAAAGCAGGGTTAGCATTGCTGAAAGCATGACTGCTGAACGCGTACGTACCTGTGAAGCACGCTTTGATCCCTCCAGGAAGATGGCGACCAGAGCGTCAATCTGATCAGCGACATTAAGCCTCATCTCGTCGCTCAGCTCCGCAAGATTGATGGAAGCACCCAAGCTCAAGATGAGACTATCCAAAACCTCTGTCCGCTTTTCCGTTGCTAGCCCCGTACTGATCGACTCAAACTTTCCAACGATGGAATGCGTCAACGGCTGCACAAAAGCCATTGCTGAGAACGGCTGGCAAGCCTTTGGCTTGTTGTTCGTCAGGTTCATGCATAGCCTGACAGCGAGCATAGTTGATGCAGCGCTGTCAGGCTGGAAGAACCGAGGCATAAAGCCCGCAATACGCTGAAGCACACCAGTCGGCCAGGAGGCTTGGATCTGTCTCGTGGCAGAAATTGACTCAAGTATGGAAAGTACTGTTTCCAGGCATACTTTGTCCGCGCTTCCTTCCTTGCCCGATTGCAACCGGTCATTCGATATCGAGGCAATCTCAACGAGCTGGGAGATCATCGTTTGATCAAGTAGCTTATCAGCATTGCCAGCCTTCCGCATACCAATGATGAGCAGCTCGATAGCTTTCAGCGCGACAAGCTGGGGAGATATCTTCTGTACTACGCTGGATGACCAGATAGAGCTTTGCTGGACTAGGGTGCGAAACGTGAATACCGATTCCTTAGCAATCTTAGACATGTTCGACTTGCGATCTTTGGCGATCTCCTTGATATCCGCATCAATGCTGGCTAGCTCGATCAAGTGAGCGAAACTGCCGGTCTCCTGTAACTCGTCTAGGACAGAGTGGGTAGGGTTGGTACGGAGGATAAATACTGTGGCGACGGCAGCGACAAAGTCGAAGATAATCTCGCGACCGCCAGCGATGTTCTGGAAGAACTGATGGGCCAGAGCCGAGTCGACAAGCTGATGACAGAACGTCTCATCGGCCATCTTGGTGCACAGATCGATCATTGCGCTACGCCTCATACTCTTACTGTTGGTAACGGATATGTCTCCGATCATCATTTCGATCTCATATCCGATGATCATGTTACGCCCCCGTGTCTTGAGCTCGTGAATTTGTTGAGCCTGTGCTTGACTGTTCTGCTCGGGGTCATCCTCGGATACAGATCTGGTATCCATCTGGGACTGAGACCCAAAGCCATCGTCTAGATCCATCGAGATCAGTAGGTCATCCTCTGGATTGTCTTCCTTTAGGTACGAACGCGCCATTGCGTAAGTGAGCTTTGGACGCATGCCGAAACCAGACGTTGTCTGCGATGTTTGTGAGTCCACATTCGCTTGCTTGTCCACATCCATGTCGTCAGAGGACGCCGTTGAAGCTTGCTCTTTTCCGACTTCTCGTACAGATCTTCTTGCAGACGAGGGATGTTTTGAGCTTGCTTCAGACTCTTCTCCACCATCGCTGCTGCTGTCTTCTTCGTCATCGTCCGAGCTGGTCTCGGTTGGTTTAAGAGTGTCAATGAGTCTGCTCTTACGGGCCTTGGCACTGTGAGTGACATCAGACTTTGATCTTGCCAGGTTACCGATAAGTGATCTCGGTTTGCGATCCGTCAGCTGTAAGTTCGCCAGGCTTGGCATTGGTGTAGCAGAGGACGATGAATCGCTTAGCAAGCCGCTGAAGAGATCCCTCTGTCGCGGTGTCACGGAGCCAGGTACGACAGGTCTGGATTTCCGAACAGGGGTGGTCAACGGATCTGGTATGTCATACATAGTCTCGTCTTCCATCTCAGGCACGTCTGGGATTTTCTTGACAGGAGATGGCCTGGGGGCCTGGCGATTCGGTATCATGCCGCTCAGAGTAGCAGGAGAGGACTGGCCCTTGACCATCTTTCGCGGTGCCATGACGGGTACGGTACGTTGCCTCGTCCTTGTCGGTTTGTTGAGTGCCAGCGCTGGCGGTTGCGTTTTCCGTGTTGCGCCTGCGACGGGCTGCAATAGTGATGCATGCCCCGGTGAAGCACTTTCTTCGTTCTTCTGAACCTTCCGGCTCCGCTGATGCGCCGTCTGTTCAGTCGTCTGTTGTACCACTGGCGTAGCCACTGTGGCAGTGGACGACATAGACCCTTTGCGCTTTCGCTTGTTCGATGCATTCGACTCGTCCGACTCGGTAGTGTCCTTGTGAGACTCTTCCGATGTTGTCTTGGACTTCCCGGGAGGCTCTTTATGTGCTGTCTGCGGAGCTTGACGTGAGATCTTTTTGACAGTTGGCGGAGCCTCTTCGTCCGACATCGGTATATCGAACACAGCGAGGTCATCGGTCGGTTTGGCAAGAGCTTTTCCTGCCGTCTTTTTCGCAGGTAGTGCCGAGGTTATCTTCGCATTCTTCTGAGCCTTGGTAGCTGTCGGCGCAACGGCCGTCGTCTCGGAAGACGCCTTTGCCTTGGCCACCGGCCTCTGTGATGACTCCGGGTCCCTTGCCGTCTGTTTCTGTGCTCCCACAGGCTGAGGCGTCTTCCCGCGTAGTGTCCGAGGTGCGATCGTATCCGAGGATGGCGGTGGCGGTGCCTGTGCGGGCGTTGGCAGCGTCTTCTTTACGGTGGCAGTATTCGCATCGTCAGGCTTGCGCAATGGCTGTGAAGCTTTTGCTGGCTTCTTGGATGCCACCACGGCCTCCCCTCTAGAAGAAGTTGAGGTTTCCAAGGCTGCTTCAGGTGCCCGACGTTTCGCTACGATCTTCTTCGCGGGCTTCGGGCGCGACATGAAGTCGTCATCAGAGGGTACATCGAAGACGTCGACATCGTCGGTCCTTGCGCGCGCATTCTCCAGACCCGTGCTGGCCTTCAATGTCTCTCCGCCCTTCTTCAGCGAGCCGTTCAAGGCTGCGGGATGTTTCCGCGGTCGGTCTGGGGATGGCGGCGCATCATCGTTGGAATCAGGAAGGGGCGGCGGCAGGGTGGAGCGACGCGCGGATTTGCCGTAGACTTTCTTGCGACGGTCGCCGGACGTGAAATTGGCGAACATGGTCGTGGCCATGTCGGTGCGTAGGCGTGTTGTGGTGACGCTCCCAAAGTTGGCTCAGACGCGCATCTCGCAGCAGGCGGGTGGCACCAGGGACCGTGGATGGCTTGTCTCGGCACCCGCTCTCATTCAGCTTGATAGCGTCGGTACACGCGTTCGCTCACCGCAAACCTATTCTCTCATTGTCGCGACTTCATCACAGTCACGGTGAAATGCTTAAAGCGGCTGTTTGCATGGTGGCTGGTGATCCAAGCAGGGTCCCGAACGACAGGCACGCTAAACAGCGGGGCATGGGTTGCTCCTTCCCAAACAGAGTGAAGGACTTCGCCGACGGTCACGAGCCTAGACTGTTAGCCCACCTACGCTCCAGCTCCTCTTTCCTGCCTCTTATCTGGACATCGTATCCATTGATAAAAGTCTGCTGTATCGTTTGGTCTTGCTCTCACCTCCATCTCATTCTTACCACCCCACAATATCAAATTGTGTTCCAACAGCACAAGCTCTGCTCACACATTCACGCGCCGGTAAGCTTATTTTAGACTGTAACTACGTCTGCATGTTCCCAAACGCTTCTCCTAAGATGCTGTATTTTGGCTCTGAAACATTTCCATACTACCAGATTTCTGCTACGTGACCTTGACTGACCATCCTCAGCCTCTCCCTAATCATGTCTTCCGACTCGCATCCACCTTCCCAATCCCTGGGCCCCGAATACCGTCCCTCAAATTTGAAACCAACAGCTACCGTCTCAACTCCCCTCAAGCAGGCCAACGTCCACATCCTACCTCAATCCCCTCAGCTGATAGCATTGCTCACGTAAGAGCCCCGTGAACCATGACCAACACCATGGTCGGGCACCATTACCTAAACTAACAACCTCAAAGCATGATACGTGATCGCAACACCGGCCGCGCAGATTTCATCTTCTACAGCAACCGCATAATCCGTTTGCTTGTCGAAGAAGGTCTCAACCACCTGCCAACAGAGTCCCAGGAGATCACCACCCCAGTAGGGCGCACCTACTCCGGTGTCAAGTTCGAGGGCAAGATCTGTGGTGTCTCGATTATGCGTGCGGGAGAGTCTATGGAGCAGGGTTTGAGGGACTGCTGTAGGAGCGTACGTATTGGAAAGATTTTGATCCAGCGGGACGAGGAGACTAGTAAGCCGAAATTGTACTACGACAAGTTGCCCGAGGACATTGCCGACAGATGGGTCTTGTTGCTGGATCCTATGCTGGCTACTGGTAAGTACACAAGGCGTGTTTGCGTAAGCACTGCTGATGGAGATAGGTGGTTCGGCACTCATGGCGATCGATGTGCTCAAGTCGCGGGGCGTGCCAGAGGAGCACATTCTCTTCCTCAACCTCATTGCCAGCCCAGAAGGCGCACAAAACCTTGCGGATAAGTTCCCCAAGGTGAGGGTAGTCACTGCCTTTGTTGATGCGGGTCTGGACGAGAAGAAGTATGTTTACTCCCATCTCCTAACCGCTCCATACTAATATGACGTGTAGCTACATCGTCCCTGGACTGGGTGACTTTGGCGACCGTTTCTACACCATGTAAAGAAATCAACAGCATCTCCGGTTCATCGATAGCATTTGCTGGGCGCAGGGCGGCTTAGGTTTAGTTGGGCATGCAGTAGCATGGTTGCGTCTAGAGAAAACCACATGATTACAGGCGTGTCAGGGTCATTGATGTACACGCTTGATTACTGTGTACACTTCTACAGGCTGCGCTCAGCTAACCGTGAACACACTCAGCCTGACGCTGACGACGATAATGAAACGCCACCGTGAATCTGCGGATCCTTTTTGGTAACCTAAACGCCATGCAAGCCATGATCCGCTCCCCATGTTCCCATGTATTATACAAGGCCTGAAGCCTTCACGCCTGGTCGTCCTCGCGCGATGGCCCCCGGGCGACTCAGTCCGCGTACTCGCCCTCAGCGTCAGGCTCGTCGTGTTCGATGAAGCCGCCGTCGCCGTCGTCGTCTTCTTGGTTGTGTGCCGTCGGCATCCTGCCCATGCGATTTGTACTCCGCGCCGTCTCGACGCTGCCCTTGGCTGCCTCCTTCGCGACGGCGTCACACGCATCGATCCAGTCGGCGTACACGTCGACGGGCGCACTGAGGTAGTTGATGTTGGTCTGGAAGGTCTGGCCGCAGACTTTACATTGCAGGTTGCCGACACCCGACTTCTTCTCGATGGAGACGCTGACGGACTTTTCGTGGTTGCAGAAGAGACATTGGAAGGTGGTCGGGAGTTTCTCCTTCTACAGGGGTGTTAGTCGGCAGGGCATCAGGGGAATAGGGTAGAGCCTGCCTTCTTGGGGCCTTGAGGCTTGCTGGAGGATTTGCGCTTGCCCTGCCATTGCTGTTAGTCTGCGCCTGCGATACCGTGAAGCCGGGAGGAACGCACCATTCTTCGCGTTGGTTAGAGTCGCCAGATGGGGAAGGTGTGTGTACACGTAATTATTAAGTAGCGATTGTGGTGGGGATATCCAGAGCCGTGTTTGGTGCTTGTCGCGCCGGTGTCGTGTGCAGTGACGCGAAATCGCGAGTTTGGCTTGAATGCGTCTCGAGTCTCGCGTGGTTCCGACCGCCAAGATCCCTGTCGCTCCCTTGCAGCTGCCGCATACGTCGATAGCCGATAAGCGCCCCCGCTCCTATCAGCGCTCGCCGCGACCATCATGCACGTGTGTAGTCAGCTGTTCGCTGCTGCCACCGCCGGCGAGCTCCTAATATCTGACCACGTTGATCCTCCTCTTCCTTCCTTCTCCTCCTTCTCTGGATTCTTCTGGTCCCCTTTGACGGTTGTTCAAAGTTGTGTTTGTGACTCTGTCCGCTCCCCACTTCTACATCATCTTGCGTGTTCGTCCTACCACCGGAGCTCACCGGTCTTTGTTTCACGACTCGATACCAACGCAGCAATCGCGATTGCTATTTGCCTTTAAGACCAGAGATCCTGTACTACTTTGTATGAGGCTTCCCATTACCAAACATGTCTACTGAAAGCACCACCAGCGATGCTGTCCTCAAGGAGATTCTCGATGGGCTCAAGGCGCTCCGTTCGGAGAACTCCGTACTGGCAGCTTCAGTCGACAAGATCAACGGCCGTGTGAACATGCTGGCAGGCATCAAGCAAATCAAGGACGAGGCAGCAAGTGAAGCTGCCAATGGCAAGCTGGACGGCGAGAAGGCGAAGGAAGTTGAGCCAGAGAAGTCCGTAGAAGCTGTTAGCGAGCAGTATGAGCAGCCACCTTCAAATGCTGATGCCCAACCACGTCGCACGAGTGTATCCAAGATTTCAAAGATCATCTTGACTTCATATCCCGGCCAAGCCGGTGTCGACCCGTTGCCAATGCAGTGGGGTGCCAAGGACCCTGCTGTTCGTGGCCCTGTCGTTGTGTCAAGACATGCGAACACTATCCGGAGACGTAACGGTACGTACATCCGAACAACTGTACAGCTTGTTGTTTACTAACTTCTCGTAGCTATCGGTGCTCATGGTGGCTCATACTCCATCTACAACGCCCTTGCTGTCGCCAGCAAGAACCTCGACATCACACACAAGCCAGACTTCACCAACACTGAGCCTGCCGCAAAGATTGGTCCTTTCCCGCAATGGAGCGACCCAAAGAAGATCGTGGCCATGGACCCATACGGCCATCTCGCACCCTGGCTGTACAAGGAAACGATGGACAAGGATGATGTTGAGATCAGACCTACCATTGCCATCACCAGAGCACACATGAAAGTGCCAGAACTTGAGGAGAGTGTAAGGAAAGGCAGGCTCGTTCCCGATGGCAAGATTTGTGTCAACGAGACTGGTGAGGTTGCGGTCACCAAGGTCGCAGTCGAGCCTGTATGGTACTTGCCTGGTGTTGCTGAGCGTTTCAACATTGGTAAGTGAGTCGAAATGTATTTCTGACTACATCCACTAACGCATTTGAAAGACGAGGGAACTTTGCGCCGGACTTTGTTCGAAGAAACTGGTGGTTCTTACCCAGAGCTCATCACCCGTCACGACATCAAGCTCTTCCTCCCTCCTATTGGCGGTCTAACAGTCTACATCTTCGGTGACCCAGCAAAGATGTCCGACCCCAGTGCGAAGCTCGCCCTCCGTATCCACGACGAATGCAACGGAAGTGACGTATTCGGATCTGACATCTGCACATGCCGTCCCTACCTGACTTTCGGTATTGAAGAAGCAGTCAAAGAGGCCCAGAAGGGTGGCAGCGGTGTTGTCATCTATTTCCGTAAGGAAGGCCGTGCTCTTGGCGAGGTCACCAAATACCTCGTCTACAACGCCAGAAAGCGAGGCGAAGATCGTGCCAGCGAGTACTTCAAGCGCACTGAGAATATTGCCGGTGTCAAGGACATGCGCTTCCAGGCTCTGATGCCAGATATCCTGCACTGGCTGGGTATCACCAAGATTGACAGAATGCTCAGCATGTCCAACATGAAGCACGATGCTATTGTCGATCAAGGCATTCCTATCCATGAGCGTGTACCCATTCCCGACGACATGATCCCGGCGGATAGTCGTGTCGAGATTGATGCTAAGATCCAAGCTGGCTACTGTATGTTTCTACTCCCTCTGATGCTCTGGGCAACTACTAACAGGATGTCGCAGTCACAACTGGCCATGTCATGTCGATGGACGAGTTGGCAAACGTAAAGGGTCGTGGTTGGGACGATGTCGACGTAAGTGCAACTGGTGACTCCTCACGATCTCATGCTGACCCCAACCTAGCATTGAAGAACTTGGATGATATAAACGAGGTGACATGTTGTAGGAGTAAGCCACCATTAGTGGTACAGTGCGAATTGCCTATGTCGACATGTGATGATAGTACATACAAAGAACTGCACTGTCCAGATACAACACATCATGCCACTTCAAACTACTTCGCTTTTGACCGTGCTTACATATTTACTGTATCACCTCTATGTTATGATCGATTTGATACTTCTACCACCATCTTCACGTGCAGATAGCAACAGCCAAGCCACCG